CAACGCGACCACGGGGAGAACATGCAAACTCCAACTATGCAGGCGTCAGGGTTGGGATCAAACCCACGACTTCCATTATGCCAGGCGTGGTAGTTAACATCTTGCCACTTGGGCACCCGAAAGAAAGTGTGCTTGGTTTGGGACACGTTATGAGAAGGAATGATGGCCCCAATGGCTGGGACTGATGATAGAGTGGCAGCTGAAGGAGGAAACTCACCTGGGAGGATAACCGCCATAGGGATGGAGCAATAACATGAGCTCATGTCCAGGACCTAAATGGACTGTTGCTTAGCGAGGTCTCTTCCAGCAGTGAATGGATCATGGCTAATGATGACGATTAATTTAATTGTACACGATGAAGCCTTGTAGAGATAACCTAAGGCATCTACACGAAACAATCAGAAGTAAATGTTAGCGATATGTGTAAGTTCCAACCATATATTGTAATAGGCCATTGATGAACCAAATGTATATTGCATTTAACATGCACTTTTCTTGCATCACTAGTCACTTAATCTATTTTAGCTGTAATATAAAGCATGCCTTTTAAATTATAAAATATTTATAGTATTTTCGTAGAGCGTAGCATTTGGAATGTTACGCAGAAACACACTTTTTTCTCATTTAAAGTTGATATATTCACGCAATTAAAAGGGTATTATCTCAAACACACAATCGTGGCATCCTTGTTAAAGAATGTGAACATATATTTATCAACGAAAAGATAAATCCATTACTCAATACATAATACACGCAGAATTGTATTAGACAGCCTATTTATGGGGGACAACAGGGACTTGAATTTAGCATTCACCTCCAAACTTAATTGTTGGTTAGGTTTTGCGGCTTTGATTAGGTCACAAATGCAGAAACACATGATCAGTATCTCTGCATCACGGTGTCTCGCTTAAAATGCCTGCTTTGCCCTCTATCTGAAATTGCCACCGTGAAGGGCAACCAGGAGTTGAAAGACAAAAGATACCATCTGATTCCCTTCTGTTGATCTTGTGTGAAGGCTTAAGTGATTTGTTATGAAGTGTCGTGTGGAATGTTTTGGTATATTTTTCACACATTATTATCGATGCTGATTTAAAACTCTTTGCAGGCGCATACACATTTTTCAGAATCATCAGAGCTTATTTTCAGCAGTGTATTTTGTTCGTTTTATTATCTGTTTAAAAAAAAAAGTAATTTCATTATAATTTATTAAACCAGCGGAGAGCACACTGAGATATTATATCTTTGCAAGTCAGACCTAAGTGGATATGGCTATGCTATGGTATGTAAAAGTGTGTTTCTGTACTCATGAAAGCTTTGTGCAGGGCTCATCTCAATGTTCATTCCTGAGATCGTAGTGTACATTCCACATTCCTGTGATGGGGCCCAGAGAAAGTTTATATTTAGGCCACACATGACCTCAGTGTTGGGTCTTTGAGCCCAGACCTCAGCCTCAAGGTTGGCTCAAGGACATTTTCTCAGCTCTCTTTCTTGACCTTGATCTGGCCACAGGTGCTGCACTGCAAGACTTTTGAGGAACTGGGTCCTATTTCAGACTAGTCATGTGCGATTTCTCAGAATTATAACTTTCAGAAAATATTCAGGTTTCTAAAGCTTTCATAAAATCCCCAGAGAGATTCCTACAGAAATACGTGAGTGTATCCTTATTGAATAAATATACCTCAAATTAAGGTGAATTTTAGACGACTGTTGTATTTTTTTTTACATGAACTGCTAATTATCGTTCGAAATTATTGTCAATGGCTTAAAACAATCCTCAGCCTAGAATATCTGGCCTAGACCTGCCTGGACACTGGGCTTTACCTAAAAGGCTCCAGGCTTCAACCCTGGCCTTGGCTTCGTTAATCAAAGTCTCACAGATATAGGAAGCTTAGTTGATAGGTAATTTTCACACGTACAGCGTGAGCCATTAAAACAACACACAGTGGATTGGTCTGAAAATAACCACTAGATCTATCATATCCGCAACATTTAGGACATTTGAAATCAATATAATTCTTCAGGTTCTTGTCTTTTACAATGTGTAAATCGTATATGGTAGTTATAATTATTTGTGTTTTTTTCTGATTACATAAGAAAAGGCCAGTTTTCAGAAACAGTGTGCATATGCATTTCCAGTAACCATATGGCTCAGAGTCAGCCAAGTGTACATTTTCCACTACTGTACTTGACCCGTGTTAAATAATGGTTATAGAGCTTCGTCTGCTTGACTGGGTCTTTTTGTGTGTGTATCCGTATGTGTTTTGCATGTGTGTGGGGGGGGGTGTTACGGTTAACGGGCTGCACAATGAACCCGGTGTCCCTAGTTTGATTCCCGCTCATGGCCAACATCAGTGACGAATATCTGAACCGGTCCTGGGCCTCTGCTAAGTCGACTCAGCCTCAAATAAGTACCTGGTGCAATGGGTAAACATGACCACTTAGGAGACAAAGGCAGCCGGGGATGGTGCTGGCCACTCACCCCTTTGTGTGCCGTTCCGGCCTCCATAGGTGCTCGCTAACATCCCTTGCCCCAATTGTCTACGAAGGCTATGAGGGAGATTTTGATCTTTGTTTGCATGTGTGGGCAGTGGTGGCTACAAACCTGGCGATCCGCATTCAATTGCTCCTCATGACTCACATCAGTGACGAATATCTGAACCGGTCATGGGCTTCCGAATAGGTTGACTCCACCTTAAATGAGAACCTCGTATTCTTAGGTTTTTTCGGTAAAGTCACGTAGGTAAAAACATTAAAAAGTAAAATAAAATAAAAATCACGACGTTTCGGAGGCAACACAAGCTTCCGTCTTCAGGTGGTACAGTCACAGCCACGACAGCTGTATCAAGTAAATGAGAGATTGCAGGAGCTACCACTCCGTTTATATAATGGTTGGAGAAGGTGGTGGGGCAAGGGCCGCATACTTTTTATTAATATGGTAAGGTGGGGCTTAAGACTAAGAATAGACTGCATAACAAAGGCTGAGCCTTTGTTATGGAGAGGTGCGGTTTGTGACTCAACCTGTGACCACCACTAAACATGGTAAAACAGTAATGGTTTTCTGTCAAATAAGATTGGCAAATAAGTGTAGTTAAATCTTTTTTGCATGGTTAATCACATCTTTCCAATGATTACTCAGTTTGTAACCGTCATCACGCTTGAAATTATGTCTGTGTTTGTATATTTGTATGGCTTCGTGTACAAACCTTTTTTTATTTTACTTTTTAATGTTTTCACCTACGTGACTTTACCGAAAAACCTAAGAATATGAATCATTGCAGTCACGAAAGCTTCAAATCTAGAATTGAGTACCTCGTGTTAACATCAGCACTCGGAGACATAGGTGGCCGGGCGTAGTGCTGGCCACCCACCCCCTCGTGTGCTGTATTCATCTTCGTAGGTGCTCGCTAATAGTGCTTTCCCCAACAGTCTGCTCACGACTACACAGGGGATCTTTGTCAATGTGTTCGCATGTGTGTGCATTTAGGGAGTTGTGAAAAAGTAGTACACTGCACAATAATGTCTTTGACCATGGTTTGATTCTTAGCCACGTGCAATTCTAGTGATACTTAGCATCTGCACCTCAACATAGGTTGACTCGGCCTAAAAAGAGAACCTGATGTGGTGTATAAACACAGTAGTTAGCACTACGGAGACGAAGGCGGTCAAGTTTGGTGTTCACAGAACCACTAACTCAATTTTGCATTGTCCTTATTTAGTGAAAAATCATGGATGTGTGTGGCGGTCTAAGGCCATATAATTTCATGTGGTGCAGTGGTATTAAGGTTCGACACTGTCCTATGATATAAGGTGTTAAGATATTAAAACACTAAACTGAAACCTTTTGCAATGGCTGGGACTGATGCATCAACCACATATACTAGTGGTGAACATGCAAAAAAAACATGCTCTGGCCGTTTTTGCATTGTCTTTCTTTAGAGCTTTGTCTTTCTTTAGAGCTTAGTCGTAAACAGTGTTAGACCAGAGGATGCCAAAATGCAAACATGAATTCATATTTAAATTGTGGAAACCAAACAAATTAAACGTGGGACTGGCGTTTTGCTTCTATTTCAAAATTATTGCGGCTATTGGCTTCAAGTAGATGAATACATTAATTTTTCTTGGCTTGACCATCAACTTAGGCCATATTTTTGTTTGTTCAAGCGTCTGAGTCAGCATGGCATTTTAACACTGCCACCCTACAGAGGCACATCAATATGGTATTAATACTGTATCTGATATTCGCCGCACTTTTACATGTAGGTTTCATAATGCACAAAGAAAGAACATCCCCGCAGACCCATGTGTGGTCATGGTATGATGCTAATGTAAAGAGACAGTCATTTGGAGACCAGTTGTTGTGTCTGGACTTGACGGATGTCTTGTTCCGCAAGTTTTAGTCCAACGAAACACGGCACAAATCTATGTACAGTTCACGTGATCCACACAAAGGCAGCCTTGTACCCGCAGCGCGTATATATTTACGTAATACGGAGGAAAAGAAACGGACATTTTATTTCATGAAGAATTCATGTTGACCACATGTGGAATCGGCAAGATATGTATTTGCAAATACCCTCAACTTGTAGCAATGTGCTGTCAAACCTAGTTATGGCAATCTTCTATATAAATTTAATATGTATCACTTCCAAGCAGCAGAAAGAACCCATTTCATTATAAAGGGTGTTGAATAGTTTCTGTGCAGATGGCGATGAGACTCCCACAGATACTGGTTTTATTTCTGGGACTTGTAATGAATCCAAGCTTTGGATTCTCCCCAAACATATCATGCCCAAAATTTAAATTTCTCCCATACAACATTGCTTCGAATTTTTTCATTGTAATATAGATTCTGCACAACCCATGTTGAGTATTCCATATAATACGCATCACCATCGTGTGGAAATATATAAATTGTACGTATGTCCACCACTGGCATTCAATTGATCAATTATCGTGCATTTAGTGTTTTTGTTAATGTTCTATTTTGCCATTATTCCCAGCACGGAAGACTGCAGCAGGATTCCGCAGATGTCGACTTGGACATTTCCTACGGAGACCGGGTAAATATTCTGTTCATTCCCCACCCTTGGCAGAGTTGAATAAAGAGGTGTGCCAACTGTTGGAGTTAAAATGCAAGCTGTTGTACAAAAAGCATTTTCACTAAGGCCGTTTGGAAAGTCTCCTCATGCATACAGGGTCGCTTATTGAGAAATACTTTGTTGGAATGGACTCGTTCTGCACGTTGTGCATGTGTAGTGGGTATAAATGGAGAGAGAGAGGCTTCTCTGGAGGAAACACGTTTATTATAACAATATAACAGTCCCTGACACAAAGGGGTAACGACCCCTTCCACCCGATACTCTAGAGAGGTATGTCCTCTGGGCTAGTGTGCCCTACACACTGGAGGAGCAGCTCTAGTGTCGGTCTTCCGGCTAACGGGGTCGCAGCCCTCTCTGCCCCGAGCCACGCCTTCCTTCTCGAACCTTCGAGAGGGACCTGGTGTGTGACGTCATCCCCCCAGCCCCCTCTTGGGGGTCTGGGGTCTGCACCTCCGGTCACCAGCCTCGCTGGGAGTCACCTGAGCCCAACGGCCCGACTTAATCCGGGCAATCTAGTTCGGCCCTTCTTCTGCCCCCTGTTGACACGGGGCCTGTACTACAGGCCAAGAGTCGTGGTTATCGCGCATCGCGCCCAACAATGCCACTACACCAGGGGTCGCGAACCTTTTTGACTGGGAGAGCCATAAAAGCCAAAAATTTCTAAATATATTTCATTGAGAGCCATATAGTATTTTTAACGTATAATAAATTAAATGTCTTACTTTTAATGCGACTTCTGGTGCTGCATAGTTTTGCTGATGGCCTTGTAGTCTGGTTCATATGTGGTGAGGTTGAGCTTCATGCAGGCGTGACCCGTGAAATGTATCTTCAAAACTAATTTCTGTTTACTTTAAAATGACACAGTATTATTAAGTAATATCGCAAGCATTTTAAAATCAGTTCCAAACTGATTTTTTTTTTCAACTCTAAATTGTCTGGGAGCCATATGCTGTCACTGGAAGAGCCATGTATGGCTCGCGAGCCATAGGTTCCCGACCGCTGCACTACACCATGTCGCGTGTGTAGAATCCACAGATTTAACGAGAGTGTGAGCTAAATGAATGGGGGAAGCATTCCTCTCCCTGCTGTTGAAGGACACGGCCACAGATCAGTGTGTTTAATTTACGCGTTACCTAGGGTCATCGAAAAGCTGTAACAATGTGGTTATAAAGTATGCACGCACGCGTATAATTAAACAAACTTCAAACCCATAGGAGGAGTTTAACTCCTATATTTGTGTGCGGGGTGGGGTGGGGGGGTTCGCTTTGTCCCTCACATTATGAATCGCGGATGCATATAATTAAATTGTTTATCATCTTAATTGTAAACTGCTGAAAATAAATTCATACAGGAGTCCACTTTGAGGGGGGGATTGCCCCCCCCCCCCCCGCAAACTCTGCCCATGTTTAAACCCTATCATCAATGCACTTATTATGTCATTAATACTGTAAATTAAATATAATCACCATCAACCATGGTCAATCCACTGCTGGACAAAGGCCTCACCATTAACAATGCATATTTAAAATATATTCGGTATTAAATTTACGTGACGTTTATTACCACATTTCATTCTGAAAGTGCGTTGACAGTCCCTTGCATATATTGTATTCGTTACACAATATACTACCACCACACGTGTGTGTGTGTGCACTATGAAGAACGGTGGCAATAGAAGTTAGCACATCACATTACTATCCTATTAACCATTCATACAATTCCTGTCAATGATGCTCAATAGCAGTGTACATTTTCATCTAAATATAACCTGGGCCTCCTCCAGGTCCACCCACCCTAAAGTGAGTACCTGTTTTTAAATCCTTTATATTAAGTTCACTTGCTTGCTTACGCGCTTACGACAGTGCAAATCTTTCGGTCGTTTTTTAACCCACTTCCCGTGATCCCATCGAGCTGACATTTTGCACACAGACTCGTTGTGTGTGACAATTTATTTTCGTGAAACATTTTTTCCTAAATTTTCCACATTTTAGGAAAAAAAATTTTCATATTTAATTTAAAATACCAATGTGATAAAAATGAAACTCTTACTCAAGAAAAACAGAAATGAATAATAAAATAAAACCGATGCCACGCATATAAAGGATTTATAGTGAAAAACTTTGTTTTTACGGGTTAATTTTTTGTTTTTTGTGACTATCAGCAACTGAGTGATAAGGGCATGGTACTGGCCTTTACATGTTGTGTGTGTGTGTGTTGTGCTGGTATTGGTAGGTGCTCACTAAAGTGAGTACCTTGATATTATATAACACTTTCAGTGGCGTTTAACTTCATTCTTCTATTAATGAGAATAACATTATTTTTCCTCAACCTTGAACCCAAAACCCATTTGTGGAATCCCAACCACTTTCCAATTTAGAAGGCAGACTAAACTTTACCTCAGCACAGTCGGCTACATTTGTAGTTTGACATTCTAAGATACGTAATTAGTTCCCACACATTTTCTTTCCTCTCTTTTTGCTGCCAACTTATCTTTGAAAAGAGCATTCTTCGTCTATCTTAACTTCTTTGAAGTCATAAAGGTCTTTCTTGGAAAAAAAGAGCAATTTTAATGTCAAGGTCATTATGCTGTACGGAATTGCAAAGGATGCTATCTTGCCACTTAGCCAGGTGGAGGCCATCGGCTACACAATGATAACCACACTGTGGCGCTCGCAGATGTAAAAGCATGGGCTTCTTTGAAATGGCACAGCCTGCAAAGAGCTAAAACCAGACTCGGAACACCATTTCTGGTCCACATAATGTGCTTTCCCCCAGTACATTCTCTGAGGTTTAGGGTTTAATCTAAACCAGGCAAATCTGAAATCCAGCTAATGCGTGTGTCAAATCAGTGTCCCCCATGCTCAAGCCAAGTGTTGGGGCTGCACGAGCCCTAAGCTAGTAACGAGTCAACATTCTCATGGCATAGGCTAGCCTCTCCACTGTTAACAATGAACACTTGTGCAGATTCCTCAAAGTGGTACGCATTTTCATTTGACTCTGGTGGGATGATAATCCCCGACCAGGACAATACATCTGAATCGTGTTGTGACTTGACCACTCAGCCAACAATGCATCACTTGTATATATAAAAGATAAAGGTGCAGCCCTGCAATTAATTGGTCACGCCACTGCTGGCAAAAAGGATTTCACTAGAAAGAGCTGTACAGAGCTTCTCTAAAGGGCATTTGGCCTCGTCTTCCCATGCTGGCCATGAAGAGCTGACATTATATATGCTCTACCACACCATATGCGACCTCCCAATCAACGGACTGTGGCATACCTTTTAACACTGCTGGGATGAAGAGGTCTGGGGAATGAGGAAGCTGGACCATTGTTTCAACTACCGTGCTGGGAGTACGAACTCTTGACCTCTGGATTACAACTTCAGTGTCCTTACCATTGCACCACGACAGCATCCTGGGTGTGTCTATTTAACTTAAAATACTGATTTATTTGGAGGTGGCTGTTTTGGCTCTGGAATACATGTTGCCGAATATATTGTATATTTTGACTTGCTGCTGAGTGTTATGATCACATGCCAGTCTTGTTGTATAGCACGATTGCCAATGGCATGTGATGGCGTATTGACAATAGTGGTCATTAATTTTCGTCAAAAAATGCATTCATGTTTTTTTATAAAGCGGTGTATTCATGAATGAAAATCAAAGTTTACGTATGGATATTAAAAAGCAGAGCCATTACTATTTTTTATTCAATGCATATGAAGTAATATTAATGCAAAAAAATACTTTACGCTGTTATGGCACCCAGCGCTTTATGAAGATGACATGCCACGCATCGCAGATAAACATGTGGGAAATGTGCTGGGTTTAATTGGCTGTGGCATGCACTGCTGGGCCTCTGGAGAAGAGAAAGGCAATAAAATGCTTGATTGGGGGGTGTCTCACAGTGCAAGCAGGTTTCAAAAGAGGCCGTTTGTTTCGGTGCAAATGTCAGTGCAAGCTGTTGCTCCTGCTCCCAATTTGTTAAATAAGGCCCATAATGTCCTATTTTTGTTAGCACAACATGTGCTTGCACATTGTTGTATATTGCTGATGCAACTCACGGAGATGCTTTATGTTGGTGCCAAGAGACTAATTAACACACTTTCCAGTGTGAATTCCCATCGCATGCAGTGCTACGAAGTTGGTGGCCATAACGCAGCACGCATGCGGCTGCAATCCCAGGATAGCTTGTTGATATCTGTCTGCTTGCAATCCTCCTGAAGAGACTGATGATTATATATGTATAAAATATGGGTAGGTAGATCCGTGCAAAAAGTGGCTGTTTTTGGAGATAAAATCACTGTAAAAAAATCCATAACCTTTCAAACGTGTGGATTTTTAAATGCTGCCAAAACTTTGGCTGTGCTTTCCCAATTTTTCAACGAAAGAGGGCACTTTTGTATATATGTGTGTGTGCTTAAGTGCATGAATGTTCTTGTGTCATTTTGTACATGCCGTGTACAAAATCAGATAGAATTTGAAAGCGAAAAAATATATTGCCGTAGGGCACATGTTCCTTAACTTTTATCTGTATGGTTATCACGCATAGCATGCAATATTTATTTTCCTTATACATTATGCACTGGCAGGCTCAGAAATAGGATTTAGTAAGCTTATCCAACCTTTTATGTGCCTCAGCCTACCCGTTTTATGAAGTGGTTATGCCGGCTATTTATATTAAAATTTTAATAACTTCAGGGAGTTATTTATTTCACATAGAATAATACAGCATGCATCTACCTGGAGAGCATAACTGCTGGGAGTTAATCACCATAGTCCCAAACAAATGATCTAATATGCATTTACATGGGAATGTTTTTTTTTTACTCCACACATAATGTATGAAGTAAGAGTCAAGAGTTTTCACAGCTGAATACCAAGTGTTTAATTTTCATTATAGGCACCTCCAGGCGTTATGTTCTTTCTCAATTATGGTATTACTCAATCACTGAAAGA